CGGTCCGTCACACCTGTGACGGTTCGTCCTGCCACTCCGTTACGAAGTTCAGAGAGTCGATTTTCAGTACCCAATTTCAGATTTTCTAAGTGTTTGGAAACGAGACCCTGCGACGGTCCGTCGTGCCCATGACGGTCCGTCGTTGGGTTCGTCGCCTCAGCCTGTTTTTCCAGAAATAAAATTTGCTGCTCAAAACGACTAAACAGGTCGTTACAATATATATATATATAGAGAGAGAGAGAGAGAGATTAATTAATTAAGTATCTAATCTATTAATATTTATCATCTATAATCTATATGTAAATAATAAATATAATTTTTTAAAGAAAAATCTTTACCTAAATTTCTTTACTTTTCTTCTTCTAATTACTTTTTCATTAACCCCTCTCATGAATAATATGATTGATATGGATAAAGTATTATCCTTTATGTTAAATAACGAAATTTAATAATTTAAAGGGTGCAAATCTGCAAAATGGAGATGCACATTGATAATGTCCTCTTGATTATTATTAAAGAATGACTCTAGCTTCACAAATTCAAATTCATTAATGTTTAATTACATGATAAGAACTTTAGTTGTTCTTTTTACGTGGTTTGCTAACTTTAATTCTTTTTCATATTCTTCATTTATTTATTATTATTTTCTAATTACTTATTTAACTTTTATACACTTAATATTCATAACTCTCATCTTTTCATATTCATAACCTCCAAATATTTAAACTAAAACTTTAAGATATCTTTTCATATTTCTTCTATTTTATTTATATAAATTCAACTTCTTTCTCTCATGGAACCCCTACCAAGATTATTAGGCTAATATCTTTATTTATAGTAAAAGTAGATAATGAAGACTCTTGAATTTTGATAGGATATGAAAGGAGTCGATAAGAACTCAGAGAGTTATGTACTAATTTTGTACTTATTTTTTCACCTGTATATACATCAATCTTATAAATATAATGTCTATATTGTATCTTTTACTTAAATATTCTGTTTCTTTTTGTTGTTTTTTTCTCTCTGTTAGACTTCTTAATTTAGTTTTCTATGAATGTTTTATTGTCGTAAGTCTTTATTCTTGTTTTTTAATTGTTACATTTTATTATTCATTGCAATTTACATACATATTTCCATGAGATTTTAATCGTTCTAATGTATCTATAAAAATTCACATGAAACACACGTGCGAAGCACGTCCTCAGAAACTAGTATCAAATACATGCAAACCTTGTTTATGATAGATTCTAAGCTCAAGAAACATATTGAAGGCCTAAGGCCTAGACACCGAATGACAAATTCATCTTCAATTCAAATTTTGTAAATTCCAAATTATCAGTGACATACTCATTGTAATTCTCTGTTCAAAAAGCATATCAAAACAGAGTGGGAAAAAAATGAACAATTATGACAAATAAAGTGAAATTGAATTTATGGCCAGATGAAAAACATTTAGTATCTACAACTAAGTTTAAAATATATATTTGCAAATTAAAGATGTTTTTGAACATGTACTTAGTATGAAAAGTAAATAAAATTTTATGAGTGAACAAAATCACTTTAAAAACTAACCAAAATTACTATCTCAAATTTGAAACTGAATCTTTAAGCTAGCGTTTGGTCATAGATATTCAAATATTTTTGGCAAATATTATTTGGATGAAAATTTAGGTGAAATTTTACCATGTGTTTGGCCATAGAATTTGAGAAGCATATTTCATTTGTTTAAGAAATATGATTTATACTTATAAGTTCTTAAAACTATCAAACTAACCATAAATTTGTATTACATAGCACAATAGAAATCTCACTTAACAAGATTTATGACTTCCGCAACAAATTAACAAGAATCATTACAGTAAATATTCGTATAGTGAAAAGGTCTTGGTACAAATCATGATAATGAAAATACAACTAATATAAATTCGGGGGAAAAAAGAGAAGAAAACAAAAGAAAATAAATATTGCAATCACTAAAGAACCTATACTTTCTCATCTGAAAGAGTTCAACCTATTCTTTAATATAATCTTCCCACATTTTGTAAACAATCTCTTCTCGATGAGCTTGCATTTTCGAATCAGAGGATCGAGAAGATGAAGCGATGTTGTTACCCTGAGCCAGTAGTTCGTCACTTTCATCAACAACCATATCATCATTTTCATATTTATTGAATATTCCATCACTACTTTGGTGTTCACGTAAAAAATTATGCAATACAACGCAAGCAATTACTATTTTCACTTGCATGTCACATTCATAGTTGTTCATGCCTTGTCTTAGTATTCTGAATCTACTTTTCCACGCACCAAAAGTTCTTTCAATTACATTGCGCAAAGAAGCATGTCTATAGTTAAATAGCTCTTTTCCATTCTTAGGCTCTCTTTCACTTCCTCGGTAGTCCTGCAAATGATAGCGCATTCCAATGAATGAAGCTAAAAATCCTCTTGTGCTCCGTAGACCAACATCAACAACGTAATATTTATCTACCAAAATAAAATAAATGCAATTCATGTTTTATTTAGTAGCTAGTTTATTAAGACTAACAGTAACAAAGGAATGTATGAAATCAAAAGAATGCATGTAGAAGGGAGCTAATTGAATTGGTTAGTGTCAATAAATATAAAACTTTTGTAAAATAAAAAGTTAAGGGTAAAAATTGAATTTCTAAAACTTTCCAAATAATGAAAAGGCCCAAATACTAGTTTTTTCTAGTATTTGGAAATTTGGAAAATTTGCCAAAAAAATTTGCCAAATAATAAAAAAGTGTATGGACAAACAAAATTTGCCAAGTTTTTCTCCAAGTTTTACTTGCAAAATTTATGGCCAAACGGACCCTTAAAAGAACTCAAAAGTTAGCTTTTTTAAAATAAATAAATAAATAAATATATTCGCTATTATGTTTTTTTTTAGTTCAAGATATTTAGCAGGGATGTGGACATTTAAAAAATGGTATTTGAAAATTTTATTGTGCTTGAAGATACATTTAAGTTGAAAAAGATAAAAATTTTATGAGTTTCTTCAAAAAAAAAAGATACATTTTATTTACAAAGACAGCTCGATGCACTAAACTTTGAGAAAAAAACCACAACATACTTGTATTGAATAAGTTTAAAATGGCTTATGGAAAGAACAAAGCATACAATAGGCTTTAAGTTCAAATGAATATCAAGATGTTCATCAATACAAATTTGAGTATGAAATGTATGTTTTCTTCACCACACAAAACAATCCATCCAATTTGAACCACTCTATACACTTATTCATTGCTTTAAATACTAAAAATGTTGTGCATAAATTGTTGATCAAGGTTGTCCAAGAAGTGAAGGCCTGTAAAAAGCATGACTTTGTGCAATCTCAATCCGATCGCGCGGATCGTTCAAGTTTTCATCCCTCAATGCCTGAAGAATAGCCATTGTCCCTTGTTCTCTAGAAGTACAAAAAAAAATGGAGAAATTAGCCCTTGAAAATGGAAACTTAATCGTTGTTCTCGTATTCATGTTTACTAGGGAATGGTAGTACTTCACTGTTTATGCACGAAATTGTAAGAGTTTAACTTATATACACAGACAGCGTAAAAGAATTTGCTCATAACAAATGGAATTAGTAACTTAGAAACTAAGGTAGACAGCCTGCTATGACATGTTAAATTACACTAATTGTGTAAAACTCTTAAATTTTAATTATAACAGCTGATTTGTTGAGTTCATAACACGGGTTTACGCTTTAGCAACAAATCACAAGCAGCATCTATATGTTGTGTTGTGCAAGGACTTACCTTTTTATGAGTATCTTGTATAAAGTCTTCAGGATAGGGCACAGCTCAACTGGGGCAACCGGCTTATTATCTCCGGGATGTAACACATTCAAACTTGACTGACTTAGAAGTTCATAGAATGCTTCGACAGCAGAAACTCCCTATGGAAAAGTGAAAAAGAACGTGACTGCTTAGGATGCCCGAACCTTAGAAGTTCTTACAGCAACAGAGCAAGCTCAGTAACTTGATGCATTAGTATAAAATGAAAGTGGAAATTGCTAGGAAAAATTCAGGATCAACAACAGTGTCAAATCCAAACATCGAGTATCCATTTCCACTGTACAAAGTATGCTTCTAATGGATTTTAGACCGTAGGACCCAAAGAAAAAGCATTCTTTCTGAAACGGACTAAAAAGAGAAGTAGGACAAACAAGTTGAAGCAAAGGGAGTGCTTCTAAAGTTTCGTGTACTCTGCAGAGAGACATGATAAGAGAATTGGTAATAGTAAATGAGTACCTGGATTGTTCCTTTGCCACTAATGCTATCACCCATATCGAGACTCAGTTCTCCCTTAGCTATCATTTGACCATACCATGAGTTACGACCTTTCAACAATGTAACATATGTATCAGCTAGAAGAGGCCCTGCAAGCCTTTCTGGTTCTTCAGTCAATAAATACGTGATGAATATCATCTCCGATGTACAATGTGCAAAATATACTGATTTGCTGGTAGCACTCTCATTTGTTAGTGCAGCTACCATCCCTGGAATCAACGAGAAGGCAAGCACAAAACAATGAGAAGATCCTCACAAAAAAATTGAGAATTACATAAACGTTAGCTGGGGACTTCAGATGCAGGGCATATGGCTCTAATGAGAATTCCAGTTTCAATAGTAAGTTACTGATCCCTCTTACGAAATCCTCATTTACATTTAACGGTACAACAGGAAAAAAGATTCTCTCTTCACCTCACCAATAATATCAATAAAGGTAAGACAATTCTCCTATTAATGATGCATATAACACTGTAAATTGTTGAAACTTGTTATATGTTACATAGAGAATTGCTAAATGTCTTTGAGTGTATTCTCGAGTCTTTATGGAGGAAATACGTTCCATAAACCAGGGGCACAAGATGCTATAAACATCGATGATGCTTTTTCATTGAGAGTAACTTAAGATGAAGATGATAATTTGTTATAAATCGACACAATGAAACTTGAAAGTGGAATGGCCGACTAAACTAGCCTCAGAAGAGCTCCTAGGCTTGCTCATTTTTCAACTTTTGAGTATTGGGAACATAATAGTAAACCGACGAGTCAAAAAGACAAAAATGGTTGCTTATTGGCGGGAACGATTTTAACCTGAAAAATAAATTCCTCAGACAAACAAACATTGAGAAAGACCAAGATTTACCAGCTCCAATGGCGTAGACGTTCTTCAAACCTCCCATGACTTCGTGAGTTACTAGGTCGCTGTTGTCCCATACAATGAAATGAGGTTGCCTAAGGAACTTTGCAAGTGGTTTTCTCCATTTTTCTGATCCACAAATCCTAGCATTAGCATATTCTTTGTTGTAAATCTCCGATGCAATATTTGGTCCACCAAGATAAAGGATATTCTCAACTGGTACTCCAGCTGCAATGAACAGATCATATTGTTAAGAAACTGAAAGACTAAACTTTCTTCTTGTTCTTTTAAAACCAACATATTGATGGATGAAACAAAGCTTCGATACATTTTACTTGTTCTTTTACAACTAACGATCGCATGCTCATACTGAATAAAATTCTGTTTCATTTCAACATATTTAGGAACCATTATATGAAAAACACGCGTTCAAAGGCCATACTGATTAGGAACTGTAAGTCAAGTAAAGATCAGCAGGAAACAAGATATAAAGAAAGATAAAGATAAACCCTTACTTGCCCGATTAATCATCTGCGTAGGAGTAATAATATGAGGAACTGGATCTAGTTCAGCCTCTATACCCTTTGCCAGTGAAATGATGATTGGTACAGTTAATCTTTCCTTCCAATACTTGCTGATCTCCTTAAAGACTTCGCGTGTTTCAGTCGAGGGCAATCCATTAATCACAAGATCAGCATCCCACACAGCTTCTTGCAAGTTGGTCACAACTTTCAATGGACAAAATGGTGTATCAATCATATTTAAGCAGAAACCATCTTTCAAGATTTCATCAGCATACAATGTCCGATCGCCTAATCTAGCCTCGACGTACTTCAGATATGCACATCTCCTTATCAACCTTCTCAACACATCCTCCCTTGAATTGATCACTTCAAATAAATGTTCGGCTGTGGCTCTATCAACAGCTCTCCCTGACCTTCTCCATATCCTAATTTGAACCTTATCGCGAAATTGACCATAACTATCTTGCAACAAAGCTGCAAAAACACTGCCCCAAGCACCAGCTCCAACACAAACAATCCTCAACAAATCACCATCAGATTTACCAAGAATATGCCTAAGCTCATCAAGTTTCTCCTCTGGACCATTGTGGTTGTGTACACTCCCATTTGAGTATACACTATTACCACTTTTCACTTCAATACTACCAACCATTTTCTTTCAAGTTCAAAAAAAAAAAAACTCCAATTATAGAACCCCACAAATCTTGACAATCTAAACACCTCAAAAAGTAGATAAAAGGAGAATCTTTTAAACCCAATATCACAAAGTCTGCAGAATTTGTCTCAACCAATGAACAAGCTACACTTTAGCTAAATTATTTCAAAAATTTGAAGAGAAAGAACCCCACAAAAGACAATCTAAACACCTCAAAATGTACTATATAAAAGAAGAATCTTTCAACCCCCAATGATCATAAACTCTGCAGAATTTGTCTTAATCAATGAACAAACTACACTTTTTAACAAACTATTTCAAGAACTTGAAGAAAAACAACCCTTTTAAGCATAAGAGAAAAACCCCTTATTGGTAGTAATATATTAAGCAAAGCACATTTCAAACATTAAATAATTTTCTTGACTTAGCTCATCTCCCACATTAACTAAATTCTTGAAAACTTCCTCAATTTTCCACTTCCTTCCAAGCTATGATAAACCAGAAAAAAAAGAGGAGAACCCTTTTACAAGTAGAATCTTTTACCTAAATCAAAACTACTAACTTTTCTCTTTCCTCACTTTTTCAACTCAAATCCACCAATTCTTTAAACAATTTTTCTTCATTTTCTCCACTTCCGAAGCAATAAAAGAAGCTGACAAAGCCTACTAATTTTGTAAATCTTGATTTTGCTGACAGCTTTGTAGTGTCCGCCTAATTTTGGTTTATCTACCCAACAGACAATTTTTGACAAACAATAAAGAAAAGAGTTGAAAAAAGAACAAACCTTTACGTGTCAAACAGTATAAAGATTCAATTTTTAAGCTGAAACTGTTGCTTTTACACACATTTAAGTTTTTTTAAAAAAACAAGAATTGTATGCAAAATGTACAATCTTGAAACAAAAAAAAGATGACCCAACTCATGAAAATAGTTCCATGAGACCATGAAGGTTAAAGATCACTTTTTTATTTGACAATATATGTATAATAATGCATGTGTGTATATATAGGTAGAAGGTGGGGGTGAGTGGGTGGGGGTTGGGGGTGTTAAAATTGATTGATATGGATAGAGTAGTTGAATGGGGCTAATATAGAGGAGGGTGCCAAGGCAATTAAAGTTTTTTAGTACCTATTGCCAACCTCCTAGACGGCCATTAATAATGTACATGTAGTTTAGTGTTAACATGGTTCGGATTTTTCATAAATATTATTGAACTTATGTTGATTTTCAAATTTTTCATAAATATTACTTTTTTTGTTTTCTTTACTTGTTCATTTTTCAATTAACACACTTACTAAGAAAATAATTAATGACGTATTGAGTTTACCATTTTACCTCTATTAATTATGAAGTGAATGAAAAGTTCTACATTTTTTAAAGTAATTAGTCATTTAATTATGGATATAATAGGTAAGAAAAAATTGTTCTTTCTTGATTTATCAATATGAAAAAGTAATTAGGGACAATATAAAAGAAAGAGTGGACAAGTAATTAGGGACAAAGATAGTATTTGATTTGTATCAATTTTTTTGAAAATGTATACGAATTTGGATGAATTGATTGAATAGTTTCCCATTGCCTTCAAAATTTGAATAAGCTTCTATATAGGGTGTGTTTGGTATGAAGGAAAATGTTTTTCTAGAAAATATTTTCCTGGAAAATAAGTAAATTTTGGACTTATTTTCTCGTATTTGTTTGGTGAGTAAAAAATATTTTTCGTATGTTTGATTTATGAATGAAATTAATTTTTTTGGGGTGTGGGGGTGGGGGTGGGGGTGGGTTGGGAGCTGGTAGGGGGTAAAAATAAAAATTTGAAATTGAAAATTTTTAAAAAGCAAAATTAATTTTTTGGGGAGGGGGTGGGGGGGTGGCCGGTGGTGGGTGTGTGAGGGTCAGGGATCGAGTAAAAAAATAAAATTTTAAAATTGAAAAGATCTTTTTTAAAATTGATGTTTTTCGAAAAAAAATGTAATTTGAAATTGGAGGAGAGTTTTGGAAAATATTTTCCTTAATTTTTGAAGGGGGTGGGGCTGGGGGGAGGGCCGGTGGTGTGTGGGTGGGGGTCAGGGATCGGGTAAAAAAAATAAAATTTTAAAATTAAAAAGGTTTTTTAAAAAATTGATGTTTTTCGAAAAAAAAATGTAATTTGAAATTGGAAGAGAGTATTGGAAAATGTTTTCCTTAATGTTTGAAGGTAAGTCATTTTCCTTAATTTTGAGGAAAATTTGTTAATTTGAAAAACATTTTCCAAAACTTTTATCCCAACCAAATATGAGAAAGTTAAAAAATATTTTCCTTCATACCAAATACACTCATAATGAATTTTAATTAGTTAGTTGAATTTGTGAATTACTAGTGATTAATAAAAGAAAGTATGCATTTGACATGAATGACTTTGAACCGAAAAAACAGAAAAACTAAAATCTAAATTAAAGTAAATTAAAAAAATGAAAGGAGTCTTTGATATATCTTTTGTTATAATAGTAACTAACATATATTCTTATCGTTATAATAATGGCTTACGTATATTTCTATAGTTGCAAAAATGATTCACATATACTCCTTCTTTATAAAAGTAAAAAAAAATATTTTAAAATATTTAATTCTTAAAAAAATCATGTATTTGATTTTTTCACAAATAAATTAGTTTTTGACTGTTGATTATTATTATTTGAGTTTTCTAATCTTATTTTATTTCTTCTTTTATTTTTTAATATAAAAATAAGATAAATAAAAAGAAAGAAGTGTGAATGAGAAAAGAATAAAAAGTTAAAAAATAAAATAAAATTTGTGGCTACTTTTAATGTTGTTTTATATATGTAAAAATATATTTGCGGTATCTAATATCTAAAATAAATTTTATAAGGAAATAAATGAAAAGGATAAATTCGACCATCAAACAACATATCAAATTAGTCAATGAATAAAAATAATCAAAAGAAAAACACATGTGAGAAAGATCAAATAAATCTCTATATAGATTATTTTTTTTTAGTTAAAAAAAGAAGAGAAAAGGGTCAAATGCCCCCTCAAGCTTTGGCCATATTTTCAACTACACACTTAACCTTTGCGGGGGTTCTATTACCCTCCTGAACATTTTTTTAATATATTATTTCACTCTCAGACACTGACGTGGTCGCATACGTGAACTCACCTCCGTGTGGCGCGTAAGAACGTGATAAAATGTTCATGTGGAGTCCAAATAAGCCTCCCAACGGTAACTTTACTCTTTATGTAACCATACATTTATTTTTTTTATTCTTTTCACTTTGTTCTTCATCCACCATTATTCTTTGTTCATCTTTAACAAAAGCTCCCTCCTTCTTTGCTCTTCATCTATCATTGTTCTTCATCAGCCATTTTTTTCTTATTAGCAAAAGTTCTCGTAACTTCTTCAACTAAGATTGAAGTTAGGGTTTCCAATTTTGTCGAATTTTAGCTTGATTTTCTCCCCAATTCAACAGATTTTTTTTTATTAGGGTTAATAATGTCTAACGTGAAATTGAATAAGCTGTGCATGGAAGAATCAGATCTGATGCTCAAAACCATAGTGAGATGCAAACATGAAAATTTGTTGCATATGCAGACTTCTTGGTCGAAGTCGAATCCCGGTAGACGATTCTGGTCATGCCCCTACTATGGTGTATGTTACTTTTCTTCAGTTATTTGATTTTGTTTAAATGATGTGAATGTTAATAACATAATATATTGTTTTTATTTTTTCACTCGAACAATTGTAATTTTTTCGATGGAGAGATAGAGAAGAAATCGATCCAAGATCCCAATTTATCCTCCCAAAATTGATGAACAAAAAAGAGTTGAAAGATGGAGTTTGGAAGAGACAGATTCAAATCAATGAGCAACAAATTCTGATTGATAATTTGACAGGAGAGAAGAGGTTCAAACGAAGAAATTTGAAATGGTGTACGTTTTATTGGAAGGTCATTTTATGTATTTTGATTTGTATTGCAGCCTTGTTCATGAACAACCTATTTAAAAGTAGGGTTCATTCAAGTATTGAAGTAATTGAATTGTCATAACGTATATCAGTAATTAGTAGTGAAAGGAGTTAAAACTCTATATTGATTGTCATATGTATTATGAGAAATTTTGTATATCAATATCATTAATCTTTTTGATTGTAAAACATGTCTTTAGTAGACATAACACCATTTTAAAGAGTGTCAATATTAGTGTCTATACAACGACAAATAAGGATAAGCATAACACAATTTGTAAGAGAAACGACCTTTAACAGACATAATTAATTGTAAAACAGGCATCACACAATGCCAAATTACAAAAAAAAAAAGATCAAAACAAAAACATAATTTGATATTCAATACTAGTACATCATCATTCAAAATGGGAAATGTTTTCTTGCCTACTTAAAACAGTACTGCAATATCATTACTTCCTAGATTGGATTGGTTGAACTACTTCCTCTTGATTTTCTCTATTCCCCTCTCATTTGTTGAAGTTTTCTTGTTGTGATTGCTGCTTTTCCATTTCATTTCAATGTGGGTGCAGTTTTTGGTTTGTAACCAATATCACCAGTAACATCAGCAGATTTTGTCACCTTTGTTGAACCAGTAGAGAAGATCTTACAACTTGACATCCCAGGCTGTATTCAAAGTATGAAATAATACTGATTAAATTTGTATTTAAACATTAGAAAATAGTATAACTGAATCAATATAAAAAACTTATATTAAGAGCTTTGAATCCATCTTCAGCTTGAAACAAACTCATTTCAATGACTGATTGCCTTTTGTATGAGGTTGTATTTTCCCTACCCCTTCCTCTTCCTTTGTTACTATAATCAGGCGATGGACATGTAAAAGGTGCACTAGGTGTTGCAGGTGGTCTTCCTTTTGCACTCTTGCATGTGTTGCAGATGCACTAGGTGTGGCAGGTGTCTTTCTTTTGCACTCTTGCATGTGTTGCAGATGCACTAGGTGTGGCAGGTGGTCTTCCTCTTGCACCTTTTGTAGGTGTTGCAGATGCACTAGGTCTTGGAGACGCACTAGGTGTAGAAGGTGACTTTCCTCTTGACCTCTTTGCAGGTCCTGGAGATGCACTAGGTGTTGCAACAAATAATCTTCCTATTGACCTCTTTGCAGGTCCTGGAGATGCACTAGTTCTGCATATGGTCTTTCTCTTGACCTCTTTGTAGAATGTTCATCTTCTGTTTGTGCTTTCTATATACATATAGTTAAAATAAATGTAATTATTACATATGAGATTAATATCACATACCAAATTAAAGTTAAAGATTTTACCTTTGGTCTGCTTAAACCTGAAGTTTTACCTTTTTCCTTGTCTGTATTTGATGGTTCTTCCCTTGCGGATGACTCAACCCTTTGGGGACATCCTCTCTTGTTGTGGCCTCTAACATTGCAGTTATTACATTTCATGGCTAGTCCAGTAGCTTTTTAGATTTTTTTATTTTCACCAGCTTCCTTCTTTCTAAGTTTACCTTGCCTGCCAGACATGCTTTTTATTTCAGGTGGTGCGACTGTGGGAATAGTAGATTCAGGCCACATTTCCATGTTTGTAACAGGTTGAAGGACATTGCCATAAGTCTTCAAGTAAGTTGTCTTACTATAACAGTTGTAATGTAGTGAAGGGGTTCACCTTTCTTAAAGTAAATGGCAGCCACAACATGTGCACATGGTATGCCTTTTAACTGCCATACCCTACGACTACAAATTCACCTACCAATATCTACACTGTGATGAAATGGTTCTTCTCTCATTTCAAACCCATTTACTCCATTAAATTCAATATTACAATTCATTGACCTATCAATATTCTCTTGTAGTACCGTTAGACATATTAGAGAAAAATCACACATCCAAGTATTTGTGAACTCTCTTAACTTGGATATTCTGGTCATCATTTTTACTCTTATCTCTTTAAGCGTAGTGATAATTGTCTTGTGTCTAGGTGCCAAGATCCAT